TAAACTTTTGTTTTTTTGAGCATGATACCATGGTAATACGATGGTTTACGTTAAAGGAGTATCATTTCCCCCTAAAAAAGTGATGATATCAGATGGTACCCTTACAAAAAACGAGTGAAATTCATGTACCATGGTTTTTATATGGTAAACCATGGTATTTTCAAGAATACCATGGTACTACCATAGCACATGTCCAAAATATCACAGTAGTACCATGTCCGAAACCCAATTTTGTAAGTAAAAAAGTATCATGGCATTACCATGTTCTTTAAAAGAGTTTCATCTCCCCCTAAAAATATAGTGATGGTGTCAGATTGTACACTGTCATAGTACCATGGTAAAGAAATGGCATAAGATCGTAAAACCAAGAAACTTAAATTTATATATGATGATTTTTTTGTCGCAAAACTTGATACTTTTCAAGTATACCATAGAACTAGCATGACATATGTTTAAAATACCACATGTCAAAAAAAAACATTTTTGTAAGTGAAACAATTAGAATGGTAGTACTACAGTATTCTTTGAACTATTTGAGTAAATACCATGGTACTCTAAAGCACTTCAAAGCATACCATGGTATTACATATACCTTGATCAATTAATATAGAAACCAGTGGAATTACATCTATACCATGCATTTTAGGCATCTTTTGTTCTAGCATCTTTGATCCTTTGGAGGCTAAACAGAAGTTTTTGTTTGTTTTCCTGCATATTATCATATGGAGGATGACACATACAGTATAACAAACTAATGGTCTGGTCTGGTCTGAGGGGGAACAGTGTCGGCATGGCTGTTTTCAGCTGACAAAACTAAGCCGTAAACTCTTTTGTGGCACCCTGCGCTTGCTAGCGGTTGCATTCGGCTTAATTAGGCTGCTTTTGACAGCGAGCCGATGCCAAAACTCACACCAGCTGAGCCGCTTTTGCACATTGAATGATATCTGTTGCATTTTGTTAAAGCAAATTTCCCTTTGCCCTTTTAGTTCCAACAAATGTGTTCCGAGGTGACTGACATCTTGTGTAGAGCGTAAGCTAAACATAGACTTCATTACGTTGTATTAGAGTAGAAGGGAAAATGAGAAAAAGATTGAATACATAGATAAAGGAAGTCAGGGAGAGTGAAAGAAAGACAGACGGAGGGGGTTGACGCTCTGTAAGGATGAACAGATTTCGGTTGGGTAATTAACTCATCCTTGTCTTTTTATTTATTTATTTAAGAGCCCAAACAAAGACATCTTTATGAGTTAGATGGATTCCAACTGTGCGATAGCAGGATGGAGGAGGGCGGAAAGTCTGATAACCGGAGACGTTTTTTGTTTTTGTGCAGAAATGCGGGGTGAGGGTGATATGAGTGTGAACAAACACGTACAGTACATACCCACACAAACATGCCATACAAACATATGCACAGAATCGCTGTGGAGTTCCACAGTGTGTGCCGAAAAATTACGGAATGGGAAGCGGCTTTAAAAACCCAATTAACTACATAATGTGATGTATTTAAAAAAAAAAAAAAGGATTTCAAAGAGGAAAAAAATATTGAGAATTGATACAAATATTCAAACTAATACATACTGAGAGATCATTTACAATAAGACCACAAAAACAAGCATTATTGAAGTAATTAGGGTGGATTTTGATTTCATGTTCACTTTAAATGTGTCCAAACTAGCTGTATTTGTTTTGGCTTTATAATCTTAAAACCATAAGAAAAAACTCTCAATAGATTCTCATCACTTCTGGTTCCTGCTCTTTGAAACGTGTTTAAAATATATAGCCTGCCGGGAAGCAGTATATTGTAATGTATGTATCGTGGGAACTAACCTGCATTTATGTGGTCCTTCCCGTTAAAGAGACGCCCATTTCCAACTGTTGGCTTTTTAACTGTGGATAGAAGCGAAGACATTGTATTGAATTATACAAAATTATATAATGTGTTTTGTGCTCAAAGGAATATTACTTATTATTAATTTGCAAACTAGCTATAAATGTTGGGCCAGAAACATACTCTGTGCAAGTATGCAGACGCTAACTCATTGCACAACTCATGCACATGTTTGCATACTACATATTTGGCGTGCATTCTTCAAATATCTGTGCCAGACATAATAAAAACAAAATTTGATAATTCAGAATTCAGATTTACAGTAACTGACTTCAGCAAGCCTGCTAATTTACTTACTAATTTACACAATTCACGTTCGCTTTCACATACTTGCGTACTAGAGTCGTGAGTCTTGAATTGACGGAGATCTAAATAAGTATATTTTGAGACTTGAGGCAAAGCAATAAATTATTAAAGGTACGAAAGATTTGTAACATAATTACAGAGTACAGAAAATAACATCATGTGACCTACATAATTACTAATTGAAGCACACCACCAGCATTTGGACATTAAGGGCACACACAAATATAGCAGCAAAAATAGGCCAATGTCTATTACTGCACTGATATAAATGGACATAAAAAGAAGTGACGATTAGAAAAATAAGATTTTATTGTCACATTTTAAAAGCAGGTTTTCAAGACACAAATCCATCAAGCAAAAATATTTTGTTCACATTCGCATTTTTTAAACAATTTACTAATTTCAAAGTTGAGGTATAGGCTGACCACAGTTAGAAGGTACTTTCATAAAGCAAAGTGCATTATCATCATCATCCTCATTATGATTAAATTCATAGTCAGTATCAGAAGCATCACCACCACCACCTAAGTAAGCTTTGCGGTGCAATAAAAGGCTCATAACTTTCAAATGGCTTTATGGATCAGCGTTGCTTTGTTCCAAAAATGTCCCAGTCGGAGCCTGCTGTGTCTAAAAGCAAAGAAATCAATGTGAGAGCGCGCACTCCACGGATGCGAAGGCAGTAGCCCGACTGGATCCATTGTGAGCGATCTATTCTACCAAACTCCCCACGTCCGAGGAGGAGAACGCTGTTGACTGTTCGACAACCCCTGAGACGCCCGTGTCTAAAAGTAGAGCGAGTCATTTGAATCTGAGGAGACATTTGCAGGGGTTTGAGCATCAACCGCAATCCTCCGCTTATTGAAAAATAGACTGTTCTGCTTAATTAGAAGCTTCTCGGTTCAGTATACGTGATGTATTTAAGAGCCTGAGAAGAATGGCTGTTTGGCATGACGCCTCGCTGGGTGACATGTGGACAGTGTTCTCAAGAGAACGCTCGCACTCATTAATGTGGTTTCCCGAATCGACGAGAGGCACAGGGAGGGGGCCGGAACGCCTATAGCAGCTTTAATAAACGCTATCTGGTCCATTAACTAATTAAAAAATATTAAGAGTGAAGAAAGAAGTTGGGGACGCAGTTTAGGGAAGAAAAGAGCGATAAAGTGGCTGCTTTAAAAGCACATTGCTCGACGGTGCCAAAACATCTCTTACCACCTCACGAAATGGCATTAAAAAGGCCCTGAGGAGCCAGGAGGATTTATCTTTTTATTTCCATTTTGAACAGCTCTATATGTCCTATATTAAAATGCTTTGACACCTGATGTTAGATCTGCTGAATGTTCTTAAAGGTATAGATCACACGAAAATGGAAATTCTGTCATCATTCACTCACCCTCGTGTCGTTCCAAACCTGTATGACTTTCTTTCAAATGTGAAAGACAAAGATGAAAAATGTCAACACTGTTTCTCTATAAAAATAAAAGCGCAAAAGGGAATGAACGCTGTCAAAAATAACAGAAAATTCTGATAATGACATCCGAAAACCATCGTCGCTTGGTGTTATTGTTGTCAAACTTTAGCAAATAATTGCATTATTTTTGCTCACGTGAAGCCATCGTATGGTCATACAAACTACTTTTATGATTATATGGCGAGTTTTGTTGTGTGTAATGTTCACATAAAGGAGCAGCGTGAACGTTTCATTTTGTGTTTCACAGAGAGAAAAAAAGCTCATAAAAGAAAGTTAAGTCTGAAATAACATGACAGTGACTTTTCATTTTGGGGTGACCTATTCCTTTAAAAAAAATATGACATAGTTACTGCTTTGGACATTTGTAATATAGTAATACCGTGGAGTACCAATTCAATACTATGGCACATATATTAATCAAATGGTACGTCCACAGTTTGTTTGTATTGCTCACCCTGTCCTAATACATAACTGATTCATTTAACCTATAAAACTGAATGACAACTCAATTCAATAAGTGATTCAACATGGCTATGAAAAAGCACATGGCCGTCTTGGACACCATTCACTGCTAATCATTCTCAAAGCCTCATGATGCTTCAGTGAACCAAAATTGCTACCAGGTGTTGATATCTACACAAAGTTTTCTCCCACCCCAGCGCTCAGTGCTTCCTCATCGCATGGAAACGGAGAAAGGAAACAGCTGTCTTTGTTTATGGGACTTGTTTTTGGAGCCTCCACACCAGCAAGCGTTTGCTCAGAATAACACACGCCAACGCAGTTTTGAGGGATCTTTTGGGAGAAATGTGAGATACAAAGGAATAACCTAGATACTGCCACAGAGAACACAGAAATGAACACAAAACATGAAGACTCCCTTACACAATCCCCCCTTCTCTTAACTCAAAGGTGGCGCCATCAATTCATTTAAGTTTAGCACATCATTGATATGAAACCATGCCTAATGTTTAAAGTCAACATGAAAGAACATCCGCAATCCGTTTTACTTCCGTAATGATGCATTTCCAATTAAACTGAGAAAAACTGTAAGACGGGAAGACATTTTATTCATCAAGAATTTATTGGAAAAGGCCTTCAGTGGATTGCGGAGCAGAACCTACTTTTTTAAAAATCTATCATTGTTTAAAGCAGTCTTTATTATGTAATTGAAAACCGGCATTAATCTTCAGTGTTAAATATTGAAAAGGTTTTAGAAAGGCTGCATTACCTACAACAACAGCCTAAAACAGGTTACCAATAAGGTTTACCAATAATTGGCACAATCTAAGCGACGTCAGCGGAAAAGGAAACTCATTACACACAATTTTTCTTGTTGAAATAATGCGCACTGCTCAATCACTCACAATAAGACCAAGAACACGGATTAAGAAACTCAATTTTGATTTCATGTTGACTTTTACGGCAATGTTCATCATGACAGCTTAGGTGGGCTCTCCATTTTTTAGTCTTAACTCAAGTTGTTTACATGCAGAAACCTTTTATGCAATACTTCACCTTCCCTTATTACTAATTAAATCATGCTTGCGTTGTATTCAAAAAGTGCTAAGAAGCACATTCTCAGTATTGGAGCTCCCTCCTGTATGCTTTAATTTATCTGAACGCTTTGTGTTCTCTCTTTCACCAAAGGTCTGTTCCCTTGTTCTGCTATAATAAGGTAAAGAGGTACTCGTGATCAATCTCATGGACTAGTCAAAGTGCAAACATTGTGTCAGACAGCATGTCCACAACAGCTCTTAACTCCCCAATGTTCTGACCACATTGATTTAACATAAGTACAGCAGACTGGATCAAAGTCAGTCCAGGATCAGTGATTGAGGTCATTGGATAACACGTCCTCTTGGCTCGGCATCCATCATGAGGCTGGATACAGATTCACTCTTGGAGAAGGTCCCTCCAGATGAGTATGAGCTGGCTAGATGTGGTAAACAAGCTGAGCACACCAGTAAGACAGGGTCGTTAGTATCCAAGGAAGAAAAGAACACGGAGAGAATGAGGAAACAGAAAAATCGAAGTGTTGGGTTCATCTGGATGCATCCAAATCCAAGCATCTGGAAGCGTTCTTTAATAAGCATTCTCCTCCAACTCTTCAGTCTGAGATCTGCTTCATCAAGGACTTCCTTCATGAAGTCAGCATTTGTAGGCAAACCTCTAAACCTTTAGTCCAGGTCTCTCACCAGTAGGAATTCCCATCGCCCTTCTCAACCCATACAGTCAATTTGGGTGTCACCCCAGACCTGTGCACGCCGCCGTTCGGGTGATGTGCACTGTGGGGGCTGTAGTAGGCCATTGTGGGTTGGTTCCTCCTGGCCGTAAGATGGCGACAGCTAACGGCCATGACAATGACAATAATCAGGAACAAGATGGCTCCTCCACCAGCCATTATGTAATACCAGTTGGGCAAAACGGGCGGTACTGACAGCGTATCTATTGTTGGCTCACTCTTGCCAGGTAGGGCTCCCCCTGGTGGAGAGATATACAAACTGTGAAACACGCCACACTACTGCTAGGTTCAAATGCAAACACACTAATGAAAGATGCTGTATTGACTGTTTTGGCATACGATCGTGTAGGGTAGAAGCTTCATGCTCCATGTTTCACTGTTCGAAATCAACATGAAATGATCGCTTTCCAGTAGAGGAACTGTTATTGAGGGATCTAAAGTTGGGTTGCATAGCACCGTGTACAGTGAAACAATGGGTGTGAATGCAGTGCTGTTATGTAACGTGCTTTCAAATAGGCACCTGAGTCAGAGTCCAAGCATGTTGCAAATAAAGACCGCCAGGCTCTAGTCCTAGGGAGTGGGGATGCCGTACTATAAATCATATTTTTTGCATGCTGGATTTGGGACAAGCGGCTCTCCAGGACTACTCAAAGGGCAGAGACCTCTAAACCGTTATGTCTTAGGGGTACATTGGGGCTGCATTCAAACAAGAGGCTGTTTTGCCAAGCAGAGGCACATGCATTCTGTTCTCCCTCAGTTCGTCTTCTGCTTATTGCAGAACGCTGACAGATACTTGACTATAGCAGGAGTTTGTAACAGGGCTGGGCATCGCCAACTTCGTCAATATCTTGTGATGCATCACTATATCATAAATGGATTGCAACTGAGATTGAGAGAGACTCGATGTGACCGCATACAAGACTGATTCTGATTCTTTTTTGGTTTTGCTCCAATTTTGATTTAAATTATTATAATGACATGCATTTATGTTTCTAACCATCAAACTTACATCAATCACACACAAAAAAAGAAATTCTGGCATTTCAATTAAATTTTTATTATTAGTGATTCAATTCAGAGAGGCTGAAAAGTGCAGTGAACCTGCAACTTTGGCACCACTTTGATATTTTCAATTTTAGTACGTAAAAATGTTGTAATTACTTATTTGATGAAATTTGATTATCAATAATTGAACTACTGAAATTATATGAATGCACACACAAATAAATAAATAAATAAAAAGTTAAATAAATTAATTAAAAAAACATTAGTTAATGAAATTAAAAAAGTTGCAATATCATGAGAAAAATTATTAAAAATTGCTAGATGTATGAATTTATCTACACACATCCAACTTGTAAGTTAAATTACAACCATTTACCATCTAGTGTAAAACTCAAGGAATTGCAATAATTTTCACACAAACCACAATGCTACTGAATACTCAACTCCTCTAAAAAGCAGAATTTAAAGCTGACGTGAAACGCCGCATGTTGAGTTTAAATTTAAAAAAGCTTTGACCAATTTCTGACACTGAAAATAAAAACAACCGTACATCTTGACGAAAGAAACCAAAATAGCACAAACATTATGATCACACAACAAGTGGAAGGAAGCAGAAGGTCTTGTCAGCTCTGCTTTGTCTATCTCATGGATTAGTAAGCACAGTGTGAGAAGCGAACATTTGAGAAAAGAATGAAAAAAAACAGTTCTCCAGGGACTCCGAGACATACCCTGAGTCTCTGATGCAATGCTGCCATCTGAGCAGAACCCGGCACAGGCAGACATCTTGTTATGCTATATTCAGCCACGGAGCATGACTGAGACACTCATTAGGGAGAGCGACTTGGCTGCCTGTGTCTTTTATTGACACTCATTTCACAAAAGGAAGTGGAGGTGCTAATATGCTGGTAGCTTGTTTAGGTATTCTTGCCAATGCAAGGATTTTTAAAACCCAAAATAAAAATGAAATAGAGCTCCAAATATAAAAACCATCAAACTGTCCACTGTTGGACTGCAGTCATTTGAAGAAGAAAAATTCACGTCTATGTGTCCGTATACACTGACAGATACTGGGATCCCACACCTTTCCAACAATTCCCATGACTTTTCTAGTCGTTTGTGATTACGGATGAGGATTTTTCATTAGAAAAATCATTCGATTGATGATTTGATTTTCTATGTCAGGTACTAATTTAAGGGATAGTTCACCTAAAAATGAAAATGTTGTCATTATTTTGTTTTCACCAAACCTGTATGAGTTTCTTTCTTGTGTTGAACACAAAAGATGATATTTTAAAGAATGATGATAACAAGACAGTAGCCATTGACTTGTATCCAGTAGCCAAAGTATTTTTTTTTCCTATACTATGGAAGTCAATGGCTACCATCAACTGTTTGATTACCAAAATTCTTTATATCTTATTTTGTGTTCAACTGAAAAAAGAAACTGAAGGTTTCAGTGAGGGTGAGTGAGTGAGGGTGAGTGACAAAATGTTCATTTTTGGGTGAACTATCCCTTTAATGCGCTCCAGATAAACGATTAAGCACGATAGCAAAAAAATACTACAGCATGCAGGTGATTGCGACTATGATATTGCTTTTATTCAACAGTTCTATAAAACGTTCTTTTTAACTGTCCATGTACAATTGTGTGCAGTTATTTTGCTCTGCTAATGAAAAAAGGTCTAAATGAAGTCAACACAGGATCAACCATTCTAAAACAAATCTAGATAATGCACTTTAGAGTTCAAATGTCTCCAATAAAACACAAATGCACATGCATTCACATACGGAACTAAGAATTAAACAGACCACATTTAAGAGCACCTCGCATCCCATAAGAAACGGTTTTCGTTAGTGACATTTGGCATCCAGCGAGTCACAAAGGAAGTTGCCCTTTCTTTATTTCCAATAGACTTTGAATATAGCATCAATTTCTTTAAAAGTGTTTCAACCCTGAAATGTTTCCCAGGTTTTTCGTAACTGTAAAATTGCACAAGTGTTAGTATAGCTGCTTAACAGGCTGAAGGGAGAAAGATGGCTCCAAAATAGACTGACGGGATGCCCATCACGTTAGGACTGATACGAATAGGCCATGTACTGAGTCAATGGCATCAAACGTTACAATTGTGACACAACCTGAATGAGATTTGAGGGGACAATGTTCTGTGAATAATGACTGAAATATTTCATGCAAGAAAGTACGTTTTGAAATGACATAAGGGGAAAATTTCAATGATTTCTGGGGAATTAATCCTTGAATGTCAAATCGTGTCACATTGTGGCACAAACGGGTCTCTGCCATGAGCCTCAAGGGCTCAGCAGCCTGACAGTCCACGTTTGGACATCTTTCCCAATTGGGACCTTAATAATAAAAAATATATCTGAAACGGATTGGTCACCTCAAATAACCGACCCAACCCCAGGTTCCTCAACTCACTGCATAAATACCACATGCTAGGAAGTAAAACAAACCCTAGATCTTCCCTGTTAACAATAACTGCTGAGCAGGGCAGAGAGCAGGAAGTGCAAACATTCACACCCGAGGCAGAGAGTTTAAACTCACCGGTCATGTCCGGAGGGAACGCGGGAAAAGGCTCTAGATGAGGGAGAGACGGATTGGGAGAGACAGAGAAAGAGAAAAAGACAAACAGAGTAAAATGTTAATATGTAATGCAAGGTTAACGGCGGGGTACATCCCTGCCTTACTGTATCAGAGGCTGACGACTCTGAAAACATGCACTGAACTTCATAAAATGATGAATAACCCACATCAGAGACTACAGAGGAAATCAAATGAGGACACAGAGGACATCAAAAGACTTTTCAGGAAATATTTCATCCTCAAATCAAAAGAAATATACAATGCCATTGCGATTTTGTGGATTGTGGCATTATTTTCATGATAATTCAGCGTATTAATTTACTACAAAACTCTCATTACTGTAATGTGTCCAGATGTTTACTTTAGTGTTTTCAAAAATTCATGGCGTCATATTATTATTACCATCAATATCTATTGTTTATTATTCCCAATTGCCATATTCTCTATGTATTATTATTTCCATTATGCTAAATTAATAATAATAATAAATTACTATAATAAAAAAAATCTAGTACAAAGTACAGTGTTGTTATTTTTTAAAATTAATTTTAAACCTAAATATTAAACAAAAACAAATACTAATACTGTAAATTATTGACTTTTCCCCCAAAAATGATATCTATATTTTTTAAATAAACCATTCTAGTAACTGGTCACCATTTCCAAGTTTTATACCGCTCTTAATCACCATTTTCCTTCACTAGATCATTTAAGTAGTCCTGCTGTGTTGCTAATGAATCTTTAAAAAGCACAAATATTCCATGAGGTCATGAAAATAATGTAACAATGCAACAAAATCTTCACAGTCCTTGATTTTTGGGATGGAATATGACCTGGACATGTTCTTGACAGGTTTTGAGATTCACACAGGTGCTGATTCCATTTTTTTCTTCAGCTAAATTCTCTGTCCCATCCTCATACAGTGATCAGATAAGGTATTTTGATTCTCAATTTGTTGGCAGAGGAGCGCGTTTTCAAGTTTTAAGTTGTTTTCATGTTGTGAAGGTTTTGTTTTGAAGAGCGAACATGGAGAAACAGAGGAGATTGCTTGAATTCTTGAGACGCAAACAATTAGAAAAAGACGAGGAACTATCGTGAGGGCCAGCGGCTCGGGGGTCTCTTTTTGGCGGGGACTGCAAGTCCAACTGGACGGGTCGATAAGAATTCTCCCAGCATGCCTTGGGAAGAATCACAGCAGGCGCGTGGTGGAACATGAGCTCTGGAGGCTTCCAATTTTTGGATTCGAAATAAACCACCAAGTCCCGTAGCCTCAGAGTGAGCCAAGCGACAATGCTGCGAGCCAAAAATGACTAAATCAAGAGTTTCTAGTTATGGACCAGGAATCGGAGTAGCGACGAGCACATGGTCACATTCTGATATCCTTAAGACCATAAACCACAAAGCTTCTGTGCAAGATTCGTCCTCAAAAAGCTCTGGCTATCAACTAATTCCGTCAAAAAGCTCTGTTTACAAACATGGAAGGAGAAGCGCGAAGGAAATAATGAAACATAGATTAGCATCGGAGCCCAGGGGCATTTGTGGCCTAGATTTGATTCTACATTTTGCTTTTGATGGCAAACAATGAAGCGCACAATTTTTTTTGTGTGTGTCCTCTTTTCATGTTAATAAATTCTATTTTGAGAAGCTCTTTGAGATAGTGGCTGTGATGGCTAGGTTTGATCACATTAAAAGGAGAGGTTTATGGAGCGAGTGTCTTCAGAATCTAAACGAATTATGGTGAAAATGGTGGAACTGGAATATGTGCCATCTGTAATGAAGAGATAAAGGTGACTTCACAGGAAACCAGAAAGAGCGTGGCAGGGAGAAACATCTGGTAGAGATAATGCACGCCGTTGGCTTAAGTTGCCGCTATAAATGACAACAAAAGTATAAAGGATAAAACTAATGATGGAAGAGAAAAAATGAAAGGTGCAGACTTACGAGTACACTCCTCCAGCGGTGTGTTCACACTCATGTGGATATTATCAATCCAAATGTGGCCTTTGGCACCCTCAAAAAATCCTTCGATTACCACCTGTGTGATGAAACATGAGCACATAGAAAACAGAAAATGTCACCATGAAATCTGTCAGGCTACCAAGACTAACAGATAAAAGTAAACGGCGTCTAATCTTCAAACAAGTAATCACTTGGACAATAGATTTAAGCAATTAATCACGTTTTGGGGTGGATTTCACTAAAATATTAAATTTTACCCCACAATCAAAAGAAAGAAAATAAGAATGTTTTGGGACCGTGAATTTTTGCATTGTGACACTATTTCATTATCCTTTTTAATTGTTTGAATTTCCATTATAATCCCATGTGATTTGTATTATAGTACAAAAGTAGTACAACAAATATTACAATGATGTATAAATACTCCACAATTTAATTAATTAATCTTTAAATAGGCTTAAAAACAAACAAAAAAGACTTTTGGGTTAATAGAGACAAAATACACCTTTTTTTAAATTTGGGGTGAAATGTGAGAATCTCAAATTTTGAACACCACCATTATAATAATTATTTTGTTTTCTCAAGACCAAAACCAGATTTTCTTTGTTATATCAACATAAGTTATAAGTTTGTTTACAATAAAGAAAACAAGACTGTCTTGAGAAAACAAGACAAAATGTAATAATACTGCTTTTAAACATTATTAATAATTTTTTTGCATGCTAACTTGACAGCCCTAATTTTACAGCCTAAATGTCCTTTTTGAAAAGATTTACCAAATACAAATTTCTGTCATTAAACTCTTGATGGCGCAGGCTGATAGGTCCTTAAATCAATTTGTTAGCGATCACATCGTGCAGCTGATTGGTTGCTGTGGCATCAGCAGCCAATGAGCTTTCTGCTCAATATTCAAATATTGGAATTGTTTGCTGTCAGCAGTCTGCAGTGCCCTCCAGAAACCCTCCACCTTCCTCAATGTATACATCTGCCACGGAGGTTATTTCATGTATGATATATGTGCAGCCGCAGCATGTCTACATGTCTTAAGTTAATTAACATTGCCATATCCATTACCATGCCAATCTCTCCGAGAGTTGTAATGACAGAACTCTGTTTACCAAACATCAGATATTCAACTTTTTATCGTGTCTAATCTGCTTACCTGAAATTCATTTGGAGATCGAGGTATGATGGTCCGTCCTTCTTTCCAGATGGGCTCCTGGTCTCCACGGAGGGACCAGAGGAGGGTTTCCTCTTGGTGTTTGTTCTGCAGCAGGACCCTGAGTGTTGCCTGATCCTCCAGCTGATAGGAGAAGATCAGGCAGAGAGGTCCGGTGTCAGGATCCACACTGGGACTGAACAGCCTGGCTTTCTGGCCCTGGGTCTCAGGACTGGCCTCAATGTAAAGGTAGTTTCCCAAACCTATGAAAGAACAAACACAATAAAGTGTGTCATACAGTCTGTCCATGTCAGCATCAAAGACTTTATATACCGGTATATGAAGACAGTGCACTCATATTACTATGAATGGGAGAAAGTGCAATAGAGAGCCTAAGTCCCTCACCTCCGCTTCCGGCTCATCTCGGAAAAAAATATGTATGGTAGTCAATGGCGAGAGACAACTTATCTTTTTATTCCGTCTGAACTGTGCCCTGAATTACACATATGATGTTTGTCAATTTAAAAGATAATTATGAAAGTCAAGAAAGTCACAGTTTGTCATAAAACAGAAGAGTAACATTTAGTTTTATGTGAAAATCGCTCAGTGAACTACATCTCCCGGGAAGCGAAACAACGAGCGAGATCCGCTGCTCGTGTGTGTGCAGTCTGGTACACAACACTCAGGCTTAATGACATAACGTTATACTTACGTTACGATTATAACGTAAGACTATAGAAAAAAATGACAGACGTTAGCTTCAGTAAAGTTAGCTTCATTCATTGAGAGAAAATGTGCGCCTTCTGGGTTTGTAGTCTTTGTAATTACGTATTTTCACAGTCTTATTCCTCAACAGTTTTACATCAAACTTCGACTTTCTTGACTTTAAAATGTATATTTTAAATTGACAAACATCATATGTGTAATTCAGGGCACAATTCAAACGAGATCAAAATATTTGTTGTCTCTCGCCATTGACTACCATATAATATTTTTCCGATATAAGGTCCTATGGTGGTCGACCGGAAGGGGAGGGACTTAGGCTCTCTATACGCAATATGCCGGAATTAGTCCCGTCTCCTAAATAAAAGAGCCAATCGGCGACTAGTAAATTCATCACGTCACTGCAGCTGCCGTTAGATGCTCCTGTTGCTATAGGCCTTCTTCAGAGCAGCGCCATGGACAGGTATGAAAGCGAGGCTGTGAGGGATAGACTTATGGTGTATTCACACCAGGAAAGTCCGATAGTTCACTTGCTTTGGTCTGGACCAAATAAATTTTTTTTTTTTTTTTTGGTACGGTTCGCTTTCACACTGCTCTTTTTGCAAGTGAACCAAAATTTGTAAACAAAACCACACGTGTGCTAAGGTCGTCCATTCATTGGACAAGGATTCTCAAGTAGGGAAATCAGGAAGTGCAAAAAAGGCTCAGCATGGAGATATTTCGTACTGCAATATTTGTTATTTTACTAATTTTGTGTTATTCTGTACAAACGCAATATGAAGAAACTGCGCAGAAGACGGATAAGGTATAAAGTTTTCATTCATAGAGAGGGGCTATGTTCACACATTCAAATAATGAGATTCTTATTGTATATACTGCTAGCAAGTGCTGTCAATGTTAACGCTTGCGATTAAGTTTGTCCAGTTTAACGCAGCATCATCCTTGCTTTGTAACTATCGTTACATTATATGAACTGCAAAAGCTTTTTTTGCATCTATGCGCGATTAGACTAAAGAGAACGCGCTGTGTGTGAATGTCCTGATGCACACACTCATTCATCCATTCCATTCCAATGACGCACACACGACGCGCAGAAAGACGCGCAACAGTATCGTGTGGCCAGACAGCGCGCCGGAATAGAATTCTCTTTCGCACTTGAACAACAATAACACAAACCATTATGCCAAAATCTCCGACTACGGAAGCCTGTTAACTCAAAGGCGCAGTGCTTTCTTGCAATTGGGTCGGTTCATGTTCACACCGTAAACGAACCGTACCAGAGTTCGTTTGGAACCGTACCGAGACCACCTCTTCAGCTGGGTCTCGGTTCGGTTGTTTGGTCCGCACCCGAGTTCGATTGCTGTATTCACACCTGCCCAAAAGGTCCGCACCAAGGGGGGAAACGAACTAGAGTTCGATTCAATCGAACCAAACAAGGCAGGTGTGAACACCCTTACTGTGTTTTCAATGACATCCGCTTGAGTTTTTTGTCCACTGAAATTTCTTGGAAAAAATAGCCTATTTTTGCAGCGTTTCGTCAGCAGAACAATTCAAAAACAAATTAAATAACCCACTGAAGAGATGTATATCAATCCCTCACAGCCTCGCTTTCATTCCCATTAAAAATCAAGGATGGCGCTGCTGTGAAAAAGATCTATAGAAACAGTGAATGTTCTGAGACGCGCGCTAAGTACTGCCATTGCACTCCAGCAGTGCTTCTTTAATGCTATTTGAGCATAACAATTGCATTTATGATTTCAAATATTACATTTAATCGTAAGCTTGGTGAACAGCTTTGGAGAATTTGATGTTTCCCCATTCAAAGAGGATGCATGACTGAAATAGCTGCCCGAGAGGCGTTTCAAAGATGGCCGCCGAGTGAAATTACTTGTTTAAATCCACATCTGTTTAATTTGACAGTGACAGAATCTTGAAGCCTTTTGGTTAGCGGCATGTAATCTTGTTTATTCCCTACTGGGCAAGATGTCCTTTTAACACATGACATTTAAACAGTCTGGATTATGTCACTTTGGGTCTAACCTATCAAACAGCCGGTGAGCACTTCCTGAACCCAAACTATGTTTTTGAGGAACATGATTCGCCTAAACATCACGCTGTGTGATTATACGGAAAAGTCAAGTGTGTCACTGTGGGAAAAGTCAAGCGCCTCGTCATTAGTATTAGTGTTTTTCGTGAGCGACGGTAGCCCACTGGGCTCTACTGTAGGCTTTTTAGGTGACGGGAGGTGTCTGTTTGCTAAGCCGAGAGTGAAAGAGCGTTAAGTGGGAGCAAGGCATGACCCCTACGGTGAAGAAAGAGCGGCGAGACAGGTGCACACTCTTTTATCTCTCTATATATTCGTGAATAATCTTTCCAGACGTTTCAAGGTCAAAAGACAGCTCATGTGGTGGCGGCCGCCATCTCTCTGAGTGATCCGATTGAACGAGGAGGAGACATGTGACCTATGGAGTCTTAAACATTTTGAGAACTGTCAAAAACCGCCTATAACACCTTGCAGCTGTCGGCACGGCTTGTTAAGTCTTTCAGAGAGAGCATTTAAAAATTTCCAAGGCAATGAATTTAAAATAGGTTTAGGATAACAATCCCCTTAACGTCACTGGGAATGCATATATGAGGAGATGTGAAGGGGGGAATAGTGAATATCTTTTATTGATGTGAAAAAAAAAATCCCCTTTTTGATCATAAGTACTATGTATAAGGGGAAATGAATAATGATCTCTTGAAAGAGGCTCTAAGTGCATGGAAGTCTATGCAAAAATCCGCCTGGAAGGCAGGTGAAGGACTGGAATACATTGGAAATGCAGTTTTTCCGCAAGAATCTCCGCCTCTGAAGTCAAATAAAGATACTCGGAATTAACCCTTTGCCACACAACAGCTGAAAGAGACTGATATAAGGGGTTATTGAACTTCCAGAAAGGAGTTCTGGGAAATTGCAATGCTTCTACTTCTTTAATGGTTTGGAAATTCAATTAATGATTAAAAGAGTATTGCTTAGCAATGTCTACATCACATATGTTATATTATATTATACTGTATATGCTATAATGATAGTAAGTAATTTCTTAAAAAAAATAAAAATTAATACTTTTATTCAGCAAGGATGTATTACATTAATCAAAATTGATCAAACATAGAGTAATTTATGTTCTTTTGTTCACAAACATATTAAGCAGCACAACTGTTCTTAATATTGATAATAATAAAAAAAATAAAAAATCTTGAGCAGCAAATCAGCATAGTAGAATGATTTCTGAAGGATAGTGTGACACTGAAGACTGAAAATTCAGATTTGCCATCACAGGAATGAATTAAATTAATATATATATATTTTTAATATACATTAAAATAGAAAACTTTTGAATGGCGGTGCATAATTGAAAATATACAAAAATGTCAAATCAATAACATGAATGCAAACTTATGAAAGTAATTGTTTCAGCTCTAAAATCGGACAGAATGAGCCACATTTGAAGCTGTTGTAAAACAGCCAACATATGCAAACCAGTGACCTCACATCAATTGAATTCTATATTAATGTTTGGCAACCTTAGACAGCCTATAGTTAGGCGAAAGAATTATTTATAGTTTACTGTTAATAATGAATGCAATTATTTAGTGAACATTTGTGTCTCCGTCATATTGCGGTTGCTGCCTTTTTATAAAAGCAATATGTCACTCGAGAGAGATCCAGCATTACAGTGATTTTACCATGTCAACACCTGACTCAAACATGGTGAAATCACTGTAACACAAGCCCTCGAGTGGCATATTGCTTTACTAAAGGCAACATGAAATGGTAACCCATTTTACTTCCGTAAGCTGATGTATTCCAGAATGAAACCAAATACTGATGAAGAAAAGAAATAGAAAATGTGGAATGAAGCCAGATTTGAAAAAAGGGGAGGCTGAGACAACGTTAAAAGCAAAGTTTTGCATTTCATCATTTCTTTCTTTCACAATCATTCACAACAAGACCATAAAGGTGTATTAAGACTGTAAATATGGTCATTTTTGCTTTATTATTGACAAACGTAGTAATGTGCTCTCAATCAAAAAGTGATTGTTTCAGCATTCCAAGATCATATCTTTCTTCACTGTCATGCTTTGTTCCTGGTGTACACTTCTAATTGCGATGTGTCATGGGATAGAAATAAAGGGAGTGTGACAGTGTTCGGGAGGGAGAAAGGAAGAGAGAAAGCATGCCGAGCATTTATCCTGTTTTCCTCTTCTAGATCCCATGCCAGTGTCTGACATGTGGAAAGCAGACCGCCGTGTACAGAGGGAATGAGGTCACAGGAGTTTACCAGAGCACATACTGGGGATAGAAAGGGAAAAGGCTGCTCTGGGAACAGTCCAAGTGCTTGTCTTTGGGGTGAGGCGTGAAAACGTTAATAAGAAACTGATTTGGAATCAGAATGAAGTCATATTACACACACAATAGTCTGCTGAGTGAGTTTACACTGGCATCAATTTCTATGAGGATCCAGGCTGGTTTATGCTGGTTAGTACTCGTTTAGTGCAAGCCAAGATGTTCATTGCCAAAACTTTGCCAGCATGATCTTTAATAGAAAAGCTGGTTGAGCATGGCAGTAAAGCTTGTAAAACTAGTAAAAACTAGAAAATATTATACAATTGATTTATATTTTATATTTATTTAATTACTTTATTTTTGTATTTAATTATATATATATATATATATATATATATATATACTGTATATATATATATATACTATATATATAATATTTTTAATGATGCTGAACTATAGTTAATTAAGTTTTTGTAAATGTAAATTAATATTACTTTATATTATAAAATATATTTCATATATATATATATATATATAATCAGTATAAATATTATAAAAAGAATATCTTAAAATATAATAAAGAAACAAAAATGATCAATTATAATTTATTTAAATATATTACATTTTTGTATAATGACGCTAAACTGTTAACTGTTGTCCCATATTATAATATGATGTAACTTAATGTAATGTAAAATAATATAATGTAAAAAAAAAAATGCTTGTTGTGTAAATGCAATGCGTTTCCAAGCATAAAAACAGACAAGAGCCTACAGGCATGACAACCTCTCTATGCATGCAAATGTGTGTATTTGTGCACACAGTGTGTGTGTGTGTGTAATACTCACTGTTTGAGCCCATGGAGAGATCTTGACTTTGACCCAAGGCGGTGCTTTTGCTGGAGCTGTGTAGCGCCCAGCTGAGGTCAGAATCCGGGTCAAGGGTCCAACCACACAATCCTTGCTCAAAATCACACAGTCCTTTGTGAGATGGCAGGGCAGCACTAGTAACTGAAAAGAATACATCAATACATTCGCATTAATATTCATCAACCCTGGCAAAACATTGGACGGCTAAAGGCACTTTAAGCTAAACTGAGCTCTGACCTTTCACTTCAGCTGTTCAAAAATAAAGAAATGACAACAATCCTGCCAAACAATCCACTGAAAATCATGATAGTTTTACTTATGTTAAAGGGAAAGGGATATTTATTGAATAAAAACGTGGTGTAAGTGTGCTTACAGGTCACATATTTATGTTGTTGTGATATATTCTATATTGTACCATTTACACAGCGATCACACTTTACTAAAACGTGGATGATTTCTGGAGGTTGATGGTGTTTATGAAATGTATTGAGAGTAAAAAAAACGACTAACCTGGACTGGGTTTCTGTGTTGTGGTGGTTTCTACAGAGGAAGGGTGGGTTGGTTTGGATGTCTCTACAGCTGGTGTGGAGGTTTCTGTGGATGGAAACACATAATTAACAATCTTATCCGAACTCAGAACTGAATGCATTTCCATTCAAACAAATCTCTTTTTCTTTCCATTTCAAATGAGATTCCCTTTCATTTTAATTATGCAGCCAGCCATGAGTCAGATATTCATAAATTAAATCATAAAGCTCCAAACTCGGAATTTATGTCAGCGCAGAGGGGAACATTAACTATGTGCACAGTATGCAACACTGTGCAAAAACTATAATGTGGTCCCTGTATCGCCAGCAGGTCTTTACATCTGTCTTAAATGATGACATCAGACTGATGGATAGCGTTGCTGTAGGGAGAAAAACCAGACAAACCATGGGGTGTTGAATGTGTACATACTAATATATAGGACCTCCAATCCATTATGCTAAAAAAAAAAAAAAAAAAAGTATCAGCAATTTTTAGCTTTTCAAAAAAGTGCTATGAACTGTAAAATATACAGGCACCAAAATAACTTTTAAAGGTGCGTTTAAAACACACACACACATGTTATGTTCATGATATGTCAGTTGTGATTATTCTTTCTTGCAGTAAAATAAGCGTTTTAGGGGGTAGAAATAATTTAGCAGTCTTGAAACCTGCCTTGGAAACAAATAAACTGCATTAAACGAAAAGGTTTTAGACTTAAATAAGAACAGAAGTCCATAGTATATGAACTGAGCGGTCACTCACACAGTAGTATCTGCAAAGGAAGCGAATCGGTGCATACATTAATATTTTGAATTCATAAAAGGTGAGCCACAGCTGGTGATATTTGTCACTGTAATGCCATGGCCTTTTCTGAAGCAATTAGCCAGCTAATACCACTTCCTCTGCCCTATCGCTAACTGCCTCCCTCTCTATGCCATCCTCTTTCCCTCCATCATTCTTTCATATGCCTCCACACCTGCAGTCTACATCCATTTGTTGTTCTTTGTCTTCTGATTCAATTAGTACAGGGGTGATGGATAAATACCATCACCTGCGCGGGACTGTGCTCTCGCACGCGTACGCACGACGCGGCGCCGCAAAGATGTTCTGTCAGGGTTTAAAGGTTGCTGTGTCACGGTGTAATGATCTTGACCTTTCAGAGATGTGACAGTTGTGTCAGCACAACATACAAGACAAATACATGGAACGTCGTCACACAAAGAGCTGTACTTCCAGCGTCACACTACAAGGCTGTTCTGAAAGCTAGGAAACATAATTATGCATCCTTCTAAAATCTTCAACAGCTTTGTATGCAGCTTTCAGAGCAATCTAAGAATGCTCTGGGATGGGCTCACTAAAAACTTTGAACCAACATTGTGTGTGAGTCAATAAAAAAAAAAATACAGAAGCACGTCAATTCAAATATTTTATGATTTTGCATACAGAGTAAGATGTGCATGGCAGTGTTATTTTAGTATTTGTTATATAATATTATGGTATCTATAAAAAAAATTCATACGTTTTTATTTTTATATTTTCAGTTTTCATTTTCATTTTAATGTAAGTTTGTTTTGTCATTTTTGTATATTTCTTTTTAGCTTAAATTAATTTTTATTATTTAAAGTTTTTTTAAGTTTAAGCTTTTTATCAATAAATAATAAAACAATATAATAAAATATAAATATTAGGTGAAAAACTTAAACTTAAAAATCTTACCTTTAAAAGACTTTCAGCGGAAACGAATTTCAACAGTTTGCATTTTAGTTAACAATAACAACACTGGTGTATGAACTATTTTCATGTAGCACAATTTTTTTTTTAAATCCTATGATGCCACATTAGTTAAATGTGTAAAAAAAAAAAAAACATGCTAAGTTTTCAAATTACCCCTTGAATTGATTCATTGATTCATTGATTCATTTATTCATTTTCTTTCTGCTTATACTAAAACACTGTAAGTTTACAGACATTCCCTTTAACCCTATAACACAACACAAGGCAATGTGTAAATCAAAATATGGTTAAAACACTTGTGAAAATCAATCAATATAGAAAATGTCTTCTTCGTACTAACACTGTACGTCGGGCCATATTTTCATTTTTTTTTCTCAGGGTGAAGGCTATTGCTGTTTCAAAATGGCTGTATATGTTATCTATCTCTTTAAACCGTACGTGTAACTGTACACCTCACCGCAGGCTGCAGTTGCCTTAATGTGATTAAGACTAGCGGGAAGATCATTGCCTTCAGTGTGTGTGTGTGTGCGTGTGTGTGTGTGTCTGAGTGTGTTGGAAGTAATGGCAAGTAAGGCAAAGAAATGAAAGCATATTATTGATAGCTGTAATCTGTCTTCCATCCATTCCGTTCTGCTCCCCCTTTCTCAGCTCATATCCCATCATTCTCTTCTCTCTCCCTCTACTCTTGTCCTGTCATTTCTGCTTTCATCAAATTCTCACCCATCCTTAAGGAAAGCTGTCAAATAGTTCTCCAAAGAACCTGATTCAGCAAAAAAAAAAAGATAATTCAATAATGAAAAATAGATATATAAATAAATAAATAAAACACCCTCAATTATGCATAAAGCTTGTCTGCATATTTCAGCGTGCTAGCCAGAGTTTGGCAGGGCTGCAAAGAGCAGTAGTGCATGCTGGGAAAATAAAACAGCTGCCTTTAGGGCCCCGTAATTCACCTGAGAGAGACTCATGCAGTGTACTATATTACAGCATATGCATTTGATTGTTTCATGATGATCACAGCGGAACTGAGTATGCTCAGATCCGTATGATGACAGACACATGGCTGAGATAAAATACAAAAAGATTGATTCATTATTTAAACCCAAGAAATAAGTTCAAATTCTATTTTATAAAGAACAAAGCAACCACTAAGAACACTGTAGGAATTACTTCTGGGAGATGTTGTTTATTCACAAGTACATACTAAGCAGGTATAGCCTATATGTGTGCATACACTACAACAGCTGTTCTGTGGGATAAACATGTATAACATATGAGTGAATGTGTGTATGTGTGGGAGAGAGTACATGGGAAAGAGAGTAACATGGTCTCTGATGAGAAACAGAAAGAGGAGGAGAAGTGAGGAGAGCAAGACCAGAAGAAAAACATTTACACAGGCAAGATCAAATGGTGGGAACAGAGAGAGAGACTGATTAGAAAACAAAGTTATAAAACAAAAGAGTGGAAGCTAGAGAGAAAGGTTGTGATTCTTAAAGGGACAGTTCACCCAGAAATGACATTTATATAATCATTTTTTCACCTCCATAAACTTCACTGAACATTAGTACCGCCACAGTACATTTATGTAATTGTGAGAGTTTCTACATTTGCAATTCTGATCAATCAATCTATGCCGAAGTTCTCTAGAATTTTGAGAATTTGGTTTTCACACCTAAAAGTAGAGCATACTGTACATTTGCACACACACACGCACACACACACACACACACTCAATCAGATGTCTCTCCAGCAGCTCTATGATAAATTATACAACATAGAGGATAATTGGCACGGGGGGCTGTCTGATTATAGTAGAGCTGCGTGCGTGAGTGTGTTTGTCTGTGTCTTTCATGCTTATAATATTGTAGACATGGGAACTGTGTATTCGTGCAGGTCGATGCTCTAGCAAGTCTGGTCAGATAAACACATACAATCCCTAATAAATTATTATAATTATATCAATACGCAGTTGAGGTTAAGTCACATGGATTACTTTTATGATGTCTTTTCTACCTTTCTGTGGCTTGAAAGTGGTAGTTGCGTAAGCTGTCGATGGAGTGACAGAAAGCTCTCAGATTTAATGGGAAAGATCTTCATATGTGTTCAGAAGAAGAACGAAAGTCTAAAAAAAGTCCAAATCTTTAAATGAGTTAGAATATCCCACACATAAACTACCGTTCAAAAGTTTGAGGTCAGAAAGACTGTTTTTTTTTTAACAAATTCATAGTTTTATTCTACAAGGATGCATTAAATTGATCAAAAGTAAAAACATTTATAATGTTACAAAAGATTTCAAGATTTCAAATAAATGCTGTTCTTTTGAAATATTTATTCATCAAAAGCAGCACAACTGTTTTCAACATTGATAATAATAATAATAAATGTTTGCTGAGCATCAAATCATCATATTAGAATGATTTCTGAAGGATCACGTGACACTGAAGACTGGAGTAATGATGCTGAAAATTCAGCTTTGATCACAGGAATAAATTACATTTTAAAATATATTAAATGAGAAAACAAATATTTTAAATTGTAATAATATTTTGCAATATTACAGTTTTTAGTGTATTAAAGAAATTTTTGATCGGTAGTGTAATGCAGAACACAAACAACAGAAACGTCACACTAAAGCTTCTGCCTTACAAAATTCATCCAGCCACCAATTTTTAATGGTTGTTTTCTCCCATCCTCTTCTCTTAGAGAAAATCATTGTTTCTATGTTTCTATTTTCTCCTCACGTCAACCTGTCCTATCCTTTTTTTTTTCTTTTACTTCTCCCCACCATAAATGAAAAGAAAAAAAAATTGTTCAGGCTGCAATAACTTTCGGCTGACAGTGCGTTTCTGGGAAACAGCTCAGTGTCGTAGAGACTGAGAATACATTTCACCCTGCAACTGGCACTGCCCAATCAACAACAAGCAATTTAGCTTATGATTTCACAACAGTGGTGTAACTGAGGCCTGTGACCTACCTGGCAGGTTGCAGCCCAGGACTTCCATTCTCATTCCGATCCCTGCCGGAGACCAGCGCTCTGGATAGATGCGGATGAACTGTGCAGGCAGCTCCTCAAAACGTCTCAGCTCTGGGGTGTCATAGTGTGTGTTTCCCTCAAAAAGCTACGGGAGGAAAAAAGAGATTACTCACACACACTTACTGAATTTAGACATCTAAACAGGAATCACAGGAGACTGTTAGTAAAAGAATTTGGATGGTATGTTTAGTTGGAAACATTTTGGTTGATTCCCTACTGGAAAATCCCAGAAAATGGTTGCAAGGTTTTTAAGTTAGTCTAGATGACTGATAGACTGGACTACCAGCAAGTGGACTTTAGCCTTGTAGACCATCTTAATCAAGACTGCAAGGACTGGTAAACCAACCTGGACCAGCAACAAACCAGCAGCTGAATGAAGATGTGAAGGTCATCTTAGAAAAGCAACAAGCCACTTACATTACTGTTCAAAAGTTTGGGGTCAGTAAGTGAAACATTATTGCAATTTAAAAATAATTGTTTTTAATACATTTTAAAATTTAATTTATTCCTGTGATGCAATGCTGAATTTTCAACATCACTACTCCAGTAATGATATTTTGCATATGTTTATATTATGCTATAGACAAATGAAATACCTTTGACATGCTAGTCTTGCTATCCATTACAAAGTTCCAGTCTTTCCCATTCAGGCTGTGTGCAAGGCGATACTTCCGTACGAAAGCCCGGTTCTCAGAGCTGGTTCCTCCCTCGCCGCTACGCGCTCCTTGGGTTATCACTCCTCGCACCGTCTTGGGTGTCCCGAGGTCCACCTGGAGCCATTCTTCTCCAGTTATAGGCTGGACAGGGGCAGGGAACCATCCTGATCTACTGGCCACCAGACGTGCCGCTCCAGGGGCCCAGTGAAGGTCCCTCACTGAGGACGCTGAGATCTGGGAGTCAGGGAGGAGCCCGGACAGCATTCCCTGGAGCTCTGAACATGGAGCATCTGAGACAAAAGAGAGCGAGATGTACACACCGACTTCAGCCTTTAATGGGCATGTACCAGACACTTTTATCCAAAGTTTCTTCACTTATTACAGATTTACCTGGAAATTTGAGGATAAAGAATAGTTATCCTTATTAAGCCTATTGTATCATATTTGATACGCAAATTTCTAAGGACTCTAACTGATCAAAACTTTGCTGAAAAACCTATAGGACACAATCTACTACATACCGCATGTCATCTGATTGAGAGTTTATACTTTTTTAGCAAGCAAAAGGCCTTTAAGAATATCCAGGTTGTTTTGCTGAGAAATCTTAACTTTTTTTTTAAGCAAATATAAGAATGACTTTTATATTATTAAAAATATTTCAAGATGAAGGAACATATTCCTTTTAAGGAATGTTTATTTGTGTATGTCTCAATCATCATTGTATTTGAACTTAATTATTTGTTGCATTGTATTATTAAAAACTACTAAAAACTAATTTTACAGCTGATTTTTTATATGCATTGTGTGCAAGTAGTCTGCTATCCTGTTATAAAGATCTTTACATTACAAGCTATCAAAAAAAAAATCAGATAGTTTTGTCCATATAAACATCAGCAAATGCACCAAATTGCATATTTTTGCTCAGTTTGGACGTCTGAATAAAAACTGAGATGATTTTCCTTCAAGTATGAGCTCCATATTATCACTATATCATACTATAAAAGCCTGATATATCAAATATCATACTCACCAAACATATGCAAACTTTTTAAATATTTTGTCTAAAGCTTCAATAAACGTATCCAGTGAAAAAAAAGAGATTTTTCTATTATGTCATGTGTCAGGCTTTACAGGGTGTTTTATTTTTCATTTTCAGCAAATATTTTTTTTCCACTAACAGACGAAAGACCTCATTGCACTGCATCTAGTCCTCATTGCATTGTATGGTAAAATGATTAAAACAATGTGAGTATAAACAGTCACCTGTAATCTGGCAACCATAAAGTTCAAAGCGCAGCGCAATGCCATTATTCCACGTTTGTGGTCGAATACGAACAAATCGGGCCAGAACTGGCTGAGGAACACGATTCAAAACCACCTCAGATGGATCAGTGTTGGCATGGAAAATCTGCAAAAGAGAGAAAACACACAACGCAGATTATACTTGCTGCAAAGCATCACCAAGTCTATTCATTGAAATCGCAAAACTCTAGAAAGAGTTCTTCCCAAAAGGAAACATGTCCTTTCATGATATTCCCATCTCAGATTTGTGTTTTTCTGCATGAAAAATGGCCAGGAGGAATAAAACATTATTCCTTAAGTTTGTAAGAGGTATTCATCTGAAGGACATCTTAGTTTGATATGCACATTAAGAATGTAATGTTTTCTTTGCTATTAAGTTTTTTTTTCTTCAAAGACAGCCCTTTAAACGCATTACAAATTAAAGGAGAGGACATTATAACCGGCAGCGATAAAACATAACTAAATCCTTCTCTCATTCACATACCTCAGAACCACAAGAGATATGACAATGTCTCTGTAAAGTGCGATAAAGACTATTAGAATGAATACCAGTGAAAAATTGCTGTAGATAAGAGAGGAACTTCCCATGTAGAGTCGAATGGTTGACTGATAACTGAAATCTAAACACAATTTTAGATTTAGAAAACGCAAGACGTGCAGTGAGTGAGCTTGAGGTTACATAACGACAGATGTATCGAAGCTGGAGGATAAGAATTAAGGCTTTAAAGAAGGATCCAATGTTTCTAAAGCTACCGAAAGTAGCACTGCATAAACTTCACAAAGAATTATACAACAGTCCCAATAAACAAGTTCTTATTGAAGAGTAACTTGCATTTTAGACACAGTATTGACAGTTACTTTGTCTCTTTTTGTCCCGCCACGAACAAAACTAGCTTTAAACAAAGCCATAGCAGAATCAGCTACAGTATTACACATCTTTGAGCAACACACAGCAGCAGCATGTCTGAATGAATCAATGATCATTCAGTGACTCACTCATGAAGACTGTTGCTGAATTCGGATCCGCATAGCATACTACTCTAATTATGTCTGCCATAGAAATATATTGTAAATGCAGTATGATAAGTACACTAGCATGCGGTTCTGAATTCAGCATGTCCCTTGTTTTGTAATGAATCAGTGTTTTTTGAAAGAATCGAATGAGCGAATGATTCAATGTTTTAATGACTCACTGATAAAAAGATGGTTCCTTTGAACAAATCGGATGAGCGAATGATTCAAAGACCCACTCATATGGACAGGCACTTAATTCAGTCCTGAATGAAGCAGTGTTTTTGAATCAATGACTCGACTTCATAAAGCTGACCGTATTCATAAAGCCAGTGACTGCATCCGAAATCGCATAATTCCCTACTAAGGCGATAGGCGATAATCAGTATGTGACAAAAGACAGTAAGTACCCACTCAAGAGAGTTTGCGATTTCTGACACAGCCATCGACTTAACAGGTGACTGGATTCACAAGACCATTTATGTGTTTTCTGTTCATGAGTGAATCACTGTTTTGAACAAATCGGTTAAGGAAATTATTCAATGACTCAGTCATAAAGTTGGTTGTCCCAATTCACCTACCTATACTACGCCCTAACAGTATGTCCCGTTTTTGTGAAGAAAAAATACATACTTTTGAGTGTGTAGCAGAAGCTTCAGGACGTATACTTTGTCATAATTGCGTCTTTAACGGACTGTTTGGCACCTGTCTATCACCTTGTCACAGTTAAAACAGCCCGTTCTCATCCTTTGGCGTCATACATGTGACGCTTTGTACATTTCGTTGAAATCTTATGCACATGGCATCGTTTAGCGTCAATATGAGACGCAGATCCCAAGGCGTCATAACCGTACCCTACCCCAGACCTAAACCTACCCATAACAGTGCGTGTTATATTGACGCTAAAGGATGCCATGTGCGTAAGATTTCGACGAAATGTCATATGGCGTCACCTATATGACGCCAAAGGATGAGAATGCGTTGGTTAAAATCCTGTATGTATGTATGTGTGTGTGTGTGTGTGTGTGTGTGTGTGTGTGTGTGTGTATGCGTGCGTGTGTGCATGTGTGTGTCAAAAGTCAAATAAAAGAATCAAATAAAAATACAAAGGAGACTGGAACTTATGATTGTTAAAACGGTTGAAACCCCCCCCCCCTCACACACACACACACACACACACACATCCGTGTTCTTCCATCCATGTGAGACGTTTACCGATGGATGTATCTTAGCCAACCGAAAACATTCCTCAACTGAGATGAAGTGTAACATAGGCCAAGATGGGCTGTAAGGGCTTTCGAAAGCGAACACACACACACACACACACACACACACACACACACACACGTATCCTGGCTCACTTACAAAGCTGTGACTATGACAGACACCAGTGAGGCAGTGAAACGGGTTGATTAAGTCAAGTGGCACTAGAAAAAGTAGTGGATTAGATAAAGACAAACAAAGAGTCTATTGAGCTTGTTTTCACCACAGTTAAATTTCCCCCTATTCCTTTTTCCTCAAGGCCTAAACCTCTTTCATCCCCATTGTTCGCCTCATCCTCTCCATCCAGTGGCCACAAGTCACGTCCCATCGAGAGTTACGGGCTCTGGGCAGAGTAATCCATATGGAAGAATCCCTTTTCTGTGCTCAACGCTCAAGGCTGCTTTATCAACTCTGTGTGAGTGTGTGTGTGTGTGTGTGTGTGTGTGTGTATTCCCAGTAGGGGAATTCGGCACACTCACAAAGGACCACAATCATAATGCTTCAATGATGCAGTGGCGGAAGGATGGAGAGGTGGGGGGAAGGTTTTCTCAAACCCTTTTTTAAAATGCTGATCTCGAGTGTGTTGTGGCTGCTGAAGCCAGACAGACAAGACAGCCGGACTAGACGGATGACCCCTTTCCAGATGCTGGAATAAGGCGCATTCAGCCATTCAACTCTGTGGCAAAACATTGTGGCAGCTCTGCAGAGTTCACGGATAACGACGGAAGAGAAGACAGAGGTTAAACGAAAGAGACTGGAGGAGGAGCGTGGGGTCTGAGAGATGATAACATAGACCAATCAACAAGACGGAAAAATCATGGGGACGAAAATATCACCAGGACAACTGGAAATGTATGAGAAAGAAGGACCGGCCCACAGTCATATTTACTAAATGGCATTTTTAATTTGACCAGAATGAACATTGAGTGGGACAGAATTACAGTCCGTTCAGTGGGACTCATTCATTTCTGTTTACATTTTTCCTATAACCAGACTGAAAAAAATCCGGTTTACTTTGAAACAATTTTCACTTAGAAAAATGGCTAATAAATTTAACAAATAAATACCAAGAAACAGCAAGTAGCACATTTGAAGTAAAAAGACTGACACACTGTAGTATTTTCTTGTTAAAAGCACTCCAATAATCTTTTACAGCTTCGAAAAAAAATGATTATAGTGTAAAATTACATGAATAACATATCAAATGTATTTGTAAATCATTCATAAAACTGTTTGTGTAAATTGTTTGTAAAAACCATGTGTTATATACATTCACGGACGAATATAACAATTTACATGAAAAAAACAATTAAAAATGTTGCACTATATGTGTAATTTCTATACAATTTATAATAATGTCTAAACAAAAAAGTATAATAAATTTATAAAAAAAACATTCTTACATAACTCCTGTGCAATTCATTTATGTGTAAATTGTGCATAAAACCATTTTTACATTAATTTATATAACACATTTCTGTGCAAATTATTCGTAAAACCATTTGCATGTACATTTTTGCGTTTCATGAATATAGCGCATATTTTTTTGTACCTGGGTATCATTTTGTTGTAAAACCAATGGAATGATGTAGTTGCACACATTTTCACTGAAAAAAATGGGTTGTGAAAATGAAATGTAACCTAGATTCGTAAACTCAAGAAAGTCCAACATGAACAAACTGTGATTCTTTTTTCCACTTTTTTCTTGTTTTGTTCACATCAAATGGCATCTACTAAGATCTATTAGACACAAAAAAAGTCTCCAGAAAATATGTACGTCAAACACAAGACATACGGAAAAGAAATATGGTACAGTTTAAGAGCAGTCAAGGGGGGGTCAGAGGTCGAGTTGCATATTGTTAATGCATTCAGGTTTTCTTCACCTGCTAAGATCAAAGATTCCATCAGTGGTTCAGCGGCGATCTTTGACCCCTGTCAATAAGCCTAGTTACACAGTCCAAAGGTTAATTAAGATCATAAAGAGATCCGAGCAACACGTGATGTCTGACCAAGTCAGCTTGAATAATGACCGTTTCCTGTACAAATCAATCGAAGACTATTTTTCTTTGTTGATAATGGGAGATCTTTCCTATAGAACTGGTCTTTAGAATAACAAGCTGGCTTTCTTGCTAGAGGAATTCATTGTGTGTTTGCTATAAGAAAAGGTTGCGCAATTCAATACAATACAGGAATAACCAGTAAATGATTAGTACTAAACCTTAAAGATGTGTTTTAAATTAAAATGGCACTGCATAACCAAATTTCAAATAAGCTATAGAGCCATAAGCCGTTTAAGCTTTAAGCCATTTGAAGTCGTAAACAAGACCAAAATCTGCCTGACAACAAGAGTGTTGGTGGCGGGGCGTCCCACGGCAGGATGGTCCCACCCATCCAGTTAAAGTAGAACGCAAGCTAGGGTAACTAAATAATTAAACCTGCCATGTTGTGGGTCTACGAGTGATAGATCATGAAATTATAAAGACCCTTTTCTACTGTCCCTCCAATGCTGGGAGGGGAAACCCTGCGTGAGCCCGTCTCCACCCCTGGGTCGGTCAGAGCAGACATCCCACGCAGACTGCTAGGGGACAAAAGGTCTCGAGGTGTTTAAGTATTGATGAAAGTCGTGAAAGAGCACGTCTAGCCCAAGACAGGAGTAGAGAAACCAAGTTGATGAAAGAGTAAATGTGTGTGTTATGATGTCTGGTGCCAAGCATGTTCAGATTTGATCATTTACATTAGAACACTTGTGACATTAAAAAAAGAAGAAAAATAAAAAATTAGGGTTGTCAAATGATTAATCACGAATCAAAATTTTTTTTTTTTTACATAATATATGTGGGTGCACTGTGTATAATTATTTTGTATATATATAAATACACACATATGCATGTATATTTAAGAAAAAAATATTATTTATATATAAAATATTTATATTTATATACAATATAAATTATATAAAAATCTATATACAGTATATACATGAAAATATTTCTTAAATATATACAAGCATGTGTGTGTATTTATATATATAAAATAATTATGCACAGTGCACCCACATATATTATGTAAAAAAAACTTTTATTTTGGATGTGATTAATCACGATTAATCATTTGACAGCCCTATAAAAAATACATTGTTTATTCATATTCATATTAATTACATGATTCCCTTTTTTGTTGAACGCCTTTGACCTAAATGATTTACGTCGAGTACCTGAAGATGTAATTACATTTTTAAACAAATTAAAACCAAATAAAAATGTCTTCCGTACTATAAAAATGATTAATAATATATTTAAATGTCAAATAAACACAATATTACATTTTTAATAGTATTTTGCGAGTCCTAAACCGATAATTGAATAAATAAAAATATTTCTTTTCAATAAATAAAAATAATCATACATTTAATGTCAAAAATATAATAAATATATAAATAAAATTTAGTCTAAATAGAGTTGTCTAAACAAGTAAACAAATAAATTTAAAAATTAAAAAAGAAATTGGTGGATAAGATTAGAGTGAAATATCTCCTATTCACCCGTCTTCATACAGCTGCAGTCCTTAACTTTTGGCGCTCTAGTGGTTAATAAACAAAACTGCATACGTCTTGCGGAAAAAGACGTATGCAGACTAAAATACCAGACTAGTCTGAATATAAACACTTATTATATGTGTACCGCAGTAATTCATGATAAGACAAAAACACGGTTTGAAAAATGGATTCATGATGTACTCACTTATTATATAAATTTTGTAAAGTTTGAACACACAAAAAAACTTACAGACTGCAGCTTTAACTTGATGAACTACCTACAAATAATAAAGTTGGACAGCCGGCTAAACCAGCACTAAGCAGCAAAATCACTAAAATGGAAATTTCTGCTAAGAAAAGAGAGAGAGAATGAAATGCTCTCACTACTGAACAATATGCCTGCTCCCCCTCCAGTGAGCTTGCTCTCAATGGGGGAAAGAAATGACAAGACTCCCCCCTTAATCCAAATTTCTTCTCATCTTTTCGTTTTTCATTTTCCTGCATCGTTGTGTCTCTCCTTCCATCCTTTTACACTCTCCCAGTCGTCACTTCTCTCACAGACGGTGAACGCAGAGGCTAAATGCCTTTATATGCCATATTCATCAAGTATCAAGTGAGTATGTGACAGATTTATTACTTGCTGTTCACAAGGGATTTATAGGAATTTCAATAATAAACAGGATATGCTGCAATTTTTGGTGCTTGTGGAACCTTTTTGCCATTTATTGAGTGATTCAATCCAAAAATGCTGGGTGGTACAGTATATTGAATATTCATGAAATATGTGCAACGACTTTACTGTATAAATCAAATTAAGCAAAAAAGTGAATATTGTGACATTTTAAGGCTCTTTTATCCTCAGAATAATGTTACAATCATTACTTGTGTCATGACTGGCAAGTACAAGAATGTTTTAGAAGCATTTCTGATTCAAATGTCAGTAGCATGAATAAATTCAAACTAAGGGAATAAGTTAAAAAATCCTACATAAAAAAACTCTATTTGACAACAATTTGCATCAGTAAATTATTTTCTAATTGTTTTTTGTTTTGTCCCAATGGTCCATTCGAATAGTCTTGAGCCAAGGGATCAGAGGGAAAAAAAGTTATTAGCATAAACGTAAGTGCAATTTTTGGAGAGTTGGTGGCGCTGGAGGAATTTAGTTAGAGATTCAAAATTTGTTGTGTTTAATATTCAGACTGTCCACTATCTGTGTGCCAAATGTCACCATTTTTCAGCAAGCAGTTACGTATATGGGCTGCCATTGACAAGAGTGGAAGGAAGAACAAGAACACTAAAGGATATAATAGGTGCCTTCAAACCTTCTTTGCTTGGCCCCTAATATAATTTCCAGCCTTTTGACAATATTCAAATAGATTTTTTTAATATAAATAATTCCATTATAAACTGACTATTGTCAAAAGGCTCGATACATCAAGAAACAATTTACCAACCCTCATTACTATATAGGCTATAAATAATTTAGTAACTAGTATACAATTTCCATCCCACCCAATATCATAAAAGTGATTTGAGACCAGGATTATGTTCGGATCTCTAATCCCAGGCATTTCCGCAGGTCAGTACTACTTTCACGTGCGACTTACTCCCAAACAGGAGACTGATCTTTTAATCAAAAGCAGATCCACTAAAAAGACGACCAAAAGGTTAATCCTAGCACTTTTATTACACGGCGCCCCTTGGCGTAACGTAGAGTTAAAATGCATAAGCATCTTTCCGAGGCTCTGATTGAACTGTGGCCAACGCGGTTACAGTGGGATTAGTCGTCACGGAATGAGAAAGACGAACTTTCAAGCGGTGGTCAGCGTCAGAACAAACAGAGATTAGGATGTGGTCGAGCAGGCGGGGTAAATGAAGCGACGGCGGTTGATTGATGCTTTAATTACTAGCTGGGCTTAATGCAAGCCAAACAAAAGCATTTCTGTCGAGTTTGCTCAGTTGTGTCCTCATCATAATTTGACTTTGCCGCAATAATCTTCACAACCCAAATGCGCTATATCCGTCTTAAATATTTTTTTGATGGAGTTACTGAGGGTTGTCCAAAGCTCTGTGATTGAATTTGGGAAATTCCTGCCTTCTTCGAAGCAAAAATCATATTAGTCCTAATAGGATCAGTCTAGAAATGAAATATTATTTGAAGCAGTCTTACTGGTCTTCAAATGGGACAAAATCAAGAGAGGAAACCCTGAATTCCGATAATGTATGAACACGTATCAGCGTATCCCAAGCTGGTCCAGGTGTGACCGGTCACGCAGGTGTGTTTACGGCGGGTAGCTCACAGGCATTAGGAACGGCCAGAGAGATAAGGGTGCATAGAGAGCCTCATTGTTCTCCACCACCAGATAACCATCTCTCAACTTGTTCCCATGTCACTTTCTCTGTTCAGACCAACAAAGTTCACCTGGCTGGAACTAGAGTTACTTCTTCCTGCAGATGCTCAACTGTAGAGCAGCTTATTTTTATTCATTTCAAAAGATTTGAGGAAAAAACTGAATATTTAACCACTGATTCCATTTATCCATTTAAGTACACATTTTTAGTGAAAACAATGATTTGGGAAGGGATAGTGACTAAAATCTTTTAGTATTATGTGTAGTTAAACATAGTTCTTTGTGGATTGTTGTGTTTGTGTTTATTAGACCTGGCTGGATTCACCTGAATTAAAGCCTGCTAACTATCAGTGGTACACTTGGCATGCTTATTAATTGCCTTTTTTCTCTATCAATAAATTAGGTATATTAGGATATTGCAGTCATGGTCTTTTGCCGCTTAAATGTATTGCATGGTCCTTGCCTTATGGTTTTTTCCATGCCGATAGATCATCCAGTCCTCTCCATTAGTGCTGACTTCCAGTTTGAAGGTGGTGACGTAGTAGGACTTAAGAGTCTCCTTGGAGATGGCTCCTTGGGTAGCGATCCCGGTCAGAACCTTAAGGAACTGAAGATCCACCTGGGAAAGGAAGGTGATTGATGAAAGTGGGAAATAGGAAGCGATAACAACGCCCGACTGATCGGACCAAATTTAGTTTCTTTCGACAGCCGATCAATGAAGATTTCTGATGTGAGTAATGAACAGTTCCTTTGCAGTATATAAATCATGAACATGTATAGGAAGGACGTGGATAACAAGTTTATTCGTCCTAGTGACACCATATCTGTGGCTGGAAAAAACAAGGGCGCTATTTTAAATAAACCATAGCTACACTTTAGAGTTCAGCATGAAACCCATCTATAGACACACTAAACATGCTAATCACCTTAACAACAACATCCTAGAATCATGGAAGTGACTTTTGCATGGCAAAATAAAAATGCCATGCAAATGTTTTTTTTTTTAAATGACGACATCTAATAATTGCATTTATTTATGCAAATAAACAATTATAAAATATAAATAATTTATTAGCTTGTTTTTTAAATATGAATTTCAGTTTGTTAGCCTACATAGATGTACAGTAGGCTGGCTAACAAAAACCTTGACATTTTTAATTTCACAATTTGACATTTTAATGCTACTTCATGATTTTGCCTAATTGCATTTATCATACATTGCATATGTCCAATCATTCTTGATTTAACTGTATATATATCATACCGTTTTATATCAAATTCGCAATAAAAGTAGAATTCAACAAAATGATGCATCACTGGTCTAATTAAAACTCCTTGACCTCTACACATGCCGGCAATGCCGTCTTTACTCATCTGTCACATGTAAGGAGGAAAGGCTCCCAGACCCTCATGCTATCAGGATCCTGGATGCAGGTGAGGGGTGTAAGGAGGGACGGTACAAACTCTGAAATCAATAGCGCTGGAGAAGGTTGCTAACTACGGATTTCTCTAGACTGTCCCCATCCATCATCGAGCAGTTAGCATCACAGCAACCTTCCATGCATCGTCGGTCTGCACCAACACAACAAACGCAGCACTCAAGCTAAGGGGCGTATGCTGACGGGCAAGATGGAGTGCACTATAGAGGGTGTAGAGGGTCCTGGAAATGTAGAATATACCACGTGTGTGTGTGTGTGAGATTGAGAATCCCAGTGGATTAAATGGAAGGACGGGGTAAATGGCATATTTAATGTGACGCAAACTAAAATGAGGCTGTGAGGGTCATAAAGCGCAATTGCATATATAAATGGTTTTTGAACAATTATATAGATTTTTTTTTTTCATGAATAAGACCAATTGAACAAATAGTACTTCCATCACCACATCGTTTTTCAAATGAAATATATCATATAATATAAATGAAATGTTGCAGGTATGTCAAATGCACCAATAAGCTCTACACTCTTGAAACTAAAAGGTTCCAAAAGGGGGTTTTCACAGCATCTTAATTTTTAATAGTGTAATGTGCGATTGGCTCACCTGTATGTATTCCTTGTTGCTGTCCTCACCAGGCGTCCAGGCGTTGTCCTCGTTGTTCAGACGGGCCTGACGGGGCTGCCAGCGACCATCATAAAACGAGGTGGAGGCCGAAATCTGATCATCAGAGATCTTACTAGACTCCATTCCAAATGCATTGCTACAGTGAAATGCTGAATGAGAAAGAGAGATGTTAAGACAAACTAAAACATTTACTTTTTAACTTTATTTTTGTTATTTTTCATTTTCTTTATCTTTATTTTTTCTTATTTTTAAGATGAAATTATTAATAATTACTTTTTAAAAATATTTTATTTATATATTTAAAGACAACTTGAAGTCACAATAGACCATATTCACTTTCTTAATAAATGACCCTATTTATACTTTCTAAATTTCTCTCAGAAATGTCACATTATGGGAGTTTAAATGTGCTGTGAATGTCATTTCATGTAATTTCTATGAAAGCTTGTTGTGAATTTTTTTTCTCAGAAACGACTTTTTTTCTCGCAATTCAGACTTCAAACTCGCTGTATCTCACAATTCTGAGAACATTTTTTGATTGCAAGTTATAAAATTGAAAACGCGAATTATAAACTTGCAATTCAGACTTTTTTCTTGCCACTGTGAGTTTGTATTTCGCAATTCTGACTATAACTCGTAATTGCGAGTTTATATCTGACAATTCTGTGGGGAAAAAAGTCTGAATTGTGAGTTATAAACTCAGAATTGAGAGATATAAACTTACTATTCAGACTTTTCTTGCAATTGCAAGTTTATATCTCACTTTTTTTCTCACAATTACGAGTTTATATATAACAAGAAATAAACTCGGAAATGCAAGAGAATTACAATTGAATTACAATTGATAGTGATACGGTCCAAAGAGATATAAACTCAATTCTGAGGGGAAAAAAGGCAGACTTGTGAGATACAAACTTCCAATTGCAAGAAAGAAAGTCACAAATGTGAAATAAAATTGTAATTATTACCTCTTTTATTTTTTTATTCCGTGGCAGAAACAAGCTTCCATATAAAATAGTTGTATATGCATCAGTGTTTACTTATAGCTGCTGGGAAAGGCTTTACCTTTAAAAAATAAAACAAACCCAAGAAACACAAATTAAACTTACTGTCACTAACTTCCTTGTGAGTCATGTTATAGCGGGCAGAGAAACCATCTTTGGCCACAGCCATGTCAGTGTGGAAGGAAAGCGACAGAAGACCTGTAGAAGACTGGATCTCTGGAGGGATTTTCGTCCCACAGTATCGTCCAATCAGGGGTCCCACTGAACACAAGAAAATGGTGGAAAGGGGAAAATGAGCTGATCCCAGGTCAGTTAGTGAGGCTAGAAGCATTTCTCAGTGTGAAGTGGATCTGCTGAGGCATCGCGTGCCTCAAATTCCCCCAGCTCCATGGATTACCAGCTTTCCTCATGGTATTCCTCTGATTTCTCTCTTACTTATCCCTGATTTACTGTCCCTCTCCCTTCCTCCTGTGATCCCTGGATGTCAGCACAACAAGAGCTGAGTTTGATCCCAGATTGATAGCGTGTGAGATGGGACTGTGCAAGTAGTTGAGATGTTCACAATAGCATGAACGCTATCTTCTAAACACTATTTGTGCGACTTGATAAAAGATATGAGAAGAAGGTAAAAGGAAAATCTTTAAGACATCACACAATACCATTCAAAAGTTGGGAGCTGAAGATGTCTTTGAAAGTCTCTTATGCTCACCAAGACTGAATTGATCAAAAATATGGTAAACAACTTAGTATTGTGAAATATTACTACGATTCAAAATAACAATTTTCTATTTGAATACAGTAATTTATTTAATTTATTTAGATGGAAAAGCTGAATTTTCAGCATCTTTACGTCAGTCTTCAGTGTCACATGATCCTTCAGAAATCATTCGAATGGCCTATGCTGATTTTGTATAACGATAACGATAAAGATACCGTTCTAAAAAATTGTTTTCAATATTATGTATGTATGTATGTATGTATGTATGTATGTATGTATGTATGTATGTATGTATGTATGGATGGATGGATGGATGGATGGATGGATGGATGGATGGATGGATGGATGGATGGATGGATGGATGGATGGATGGATGGATGGATGGATGGATGGATGGATGGATGGATGGATGGATGGATGGATGGATGGATGGATGGATGGATGGATGGATGGATGGATGGATGGATGGATGGATGGATGGATGGATGGATGGATGGATGGATGGATGGATGGATGGATGGATGGATGGATGGATGGATGGATGGATGGATGGATGGATGGATGGATGGATGGATGGATGGATGGATGGATGGATGGATGGATGGATATCTGGATAAAAAAACAGACGCTTACCTTGTGGTAGACCGTCCCAAACGTCCAGCCAGTCGTACTTGCATTCTCCTTCCCCCATCAGCAAAGGGTCGTTTTCCAGGTCAAAGGTCTGGAAGGTGAGTGTGACCTCCGTCTGAGGAGGAGCGATGATGATGAAGGAGCACTCCAAATTATGAGGGTACTTGTCAGGGAAACCGGGAGACTCAATCACTCCAGTTGAAGCACTGAAATTACGGAAACAGTGCTCGGCTCCTGCAGTGCAAACAGACAACACAAAAGAGAAACGTGGATTCAGAAAACTCTGACAGAGTAATTCATTAGTGCTGCTTACTGCGCACATTATGGCAGCACAATTTGTTTGGAAAAAAACACTTTTTTATCAGAAAATGTCAAAAGTATTCAATGTAAAGAGTATACACATGTATATATGTATATATAATTAATATAATATATAAACACAATATCATAATATATTTATGAGTGTTAAAATGAATGATTTTACACCTCATTTAATCAACTTAGCACAATATGTAAACATTTATCTTTAGCTCAGAATCAATGAATAATCGTACATTTTAAATTCAGTTTGCTAAACGAAACCATTTGTTGTAAATATGTTTTACAAAATAGACACATTTCCTCAACCACTCGTAAATCTTCAGGGATATTCTGGTGAACGTTTCTTCTCTTGTTCAGCGGTGTGTTATTGTGCTGTATTCTGTGCATGAGTTTGCCAGACACTCGAGCGAGAGAATGTCATAAAATGAAAGCGTGGTTACTGATTCCTGGCCTCGGAGAGCTCTCGCACGCCCCTCTCCCCCTCTAATTCACATTTCAACCTGCTGTTCAAGCTCTCCACTCCCCTGCTCGCGATGCCACCGCGTTTGGCACGCCGTCTGAATGCAGAGCGAATATGAGGCAGAGGGGAGCGAGAGAGACAAAGAGAGATTACACTAAACAAACAAGTCTAAGTGGGTGGCAGAAGATGGACGCAGTTTGTAAAGTATACAGATTATGTACGCTGCTCACCTTGAGCAAATATGTGGCCCATCATGCCTTGCTCTCAAATGTGAGACAAAACTATATAAGGTGCTAACAGTGTTACTGGATCAAAGATCATTGATATCATAGAAACTGACACTTATGATGTTCCCTGATGTTAGGTTCAGTGACAACATTTAATACTTTCATTCAGGGGCAATATTTGCCTCCTGGAACTGTTTTCCAGGGGCAGTTGTACTATGATGTGGGCATTTCATTTATAAACAAGTAAAAACACAAAGCATGCCGCCTATTTATTGTATGTCAAATACTTCAAACCTATACAACACTCGATAGATCTAGAAAATAAATAAAAATATATATGGTGAGGTATTAAAATAATATTATGCAAAAGAACAGCATGATCCGCCTGCCTAACATGTCCGTTTGTGGTTGTACAGAAGGAAGAGAGTCTTGGATTTGGAATTACATGAGGATGACATCATTTTTGGAGTCAATGATGACAGAATTGTCATTTGTTGGTGAACTGTACCTTTAAGGAGCTCTGAGACTGGCTCCTTGTGTCTAATACGGCCACTAATCAGATTTTTCTCAGTAAAACCATGTGAAAATGACTCGTGGTCTCCCTTGTTTGTTTCTCGCACCAGTGACACCATCTAACCAACGTGTTTCCTCCACTGAAATGTTCCTTGTGGTAAACAGCCTATGTGGAGGGGAGCAAATTACCCAGAATTCTATAAAAAGAAGAGACATGTCTTACAGGTACTTGTGGCGGCTGTCAAGAGGTCAGTGTCTCGTCGTGTCTAATGAGGAGCAGCGGACCTGTGCAACTCCAGGCCAAATGAACAGCAGGTTCCAGTATGTTTGTGACACTCAACACATACGTGAATGACGGCTGGTACCGCGGTAAATGTATGTGTTGGGTGCACATGCTCACTTGAGCACAGACAAAACCCCAGGGAAGCCACACAAGCAGAAGGAAGGAAAGCAAAAATGAGATGAGATGTTGTGTAACAAACACACACACAAACGCACACAAGCCTTCCTGCTTTTCAAACGCTACCTTCGCTCTGGCGCTCTCCCACACAGTGATGGAAATATCACTGCTGCAGCTTGTGTGGAGGACGCTAACACCATGCCTCCATATTACACAAAGAAAGGAACCTATATCAAGATAAATATGGATAAATTGCAGAAAAGTCTCTTAAATCGATTGCAAATGATAAAAAGAAGAGCATAGGGGAGAATGGGTAAGATGAGCCATGTTTTGTCCTCTAGGCCTGTGAAAAAAAGGGATTTCAAATGGCTGAGGACATTGTAGATATCAGGGTGAATGATGGCCAATTCTGATATACACTCATCTAAAGGATTATTAGGAACACCTGTTCAATTTCTCATTAATGCAATTATCTAATCAACCAATCACATGGCAGTTGCTTCAATGCATTTAGGGGTGTGGTCCTGGTCAAGACAATCTCCTGAACTCCAAACTGAATGGCAGAATGGGAAAGAAATGTGATTTAAGCCATTTTGATCGTGGCATGGTTGTTCGTGCCAGACGGGCCGGTCTGAGTATTTCACAATCTGCTCAGTTACTGGGATTTTCACGCACAACCATTTCTAGGGTTTACAAAGAATGGTGTGAAAAGGGAAAAACATCCAGTATGCGGCAGTCCTGTGGGCGAAAATGCCTTGTTGATGCTAGAGGTCAGAGGAGAATGGGCCGACTGATTTAAGCTGATAGAAGAGCAACTTTGACTGAAATAACCACTCGTTACAACCGAGGTATGCAGCAAAGCATTTGTGAAGCCACAACACGCACAACCTTGAGGCGGATAGGCTACAACAGCAGAAGACCCCACCGGGTACCACTCATCTCCACTACAAATAGGAAAAAGAGGCTACAATTTGCAAGAGCTCACCAAAATTGGACAGTTGAAGACTGGAAAAATGATGCCTGGTCTGATGAGTCTCGATTTCTGTTGAGACATTCAGATGGTAGAGTCAGAATTTGGCGTAAACAGAATGAGAACGTGGATCCATCATGCCTTGTTACCACTGTGCAGGCTGGTGGTGGTGGTGTAATGGTGTGGGGGATGTTTTCTTGGCACACTTTGGGCCCCTTTGTGCCAATGGGGCATCGTTTAAATGCCACGGCCTACCTGAGTATTGTTTCTGACCATGTCCATCCCTTTATGGCCACCATGTACCCATCCTCTGATGGCTTCTTCCAGCAAGATAATGCACCATGTCACAAAGCTCGAATCATTTCAAATTGGTTTCTTGAACATGACAATGAGTTCACTGTACTAAAATGGCCCCCACAGTCACCAGATCTCAACCCAATAGAGCATCTTTGGGATGTGGTGGAACGGGAGCTTCGTGCCCTGGATGTGCATCCCACAAATCTCCATCAACTGCAAGATGCTATCCTATCAATATGGGCCAACATTTCTAAAGAATGCTTTCAGCACCTTGTTGAATCAATGGCACGTAGAATTAAGGCAGTTCTGAAGGCGAAAGGGGGTCAAACACCGTATTAGTATGGTGTTCCTAATAATCCTTTAGGTGAGTGTATAACAAAAATAAAATTCAATTTAAGAAGGGTAAATGAGACATACATCAAATTTCTTTAAACCAATGAACACTTAGGGGCAGTTCACACAGAATGCACTTTTCCATTACACTGGACTATTTTTTCATTGTTTTCAATGTAATAACACGCTAATCGGACGTTTTAACCATTGCACTCGCGTATTTTGCAGTGTCTTGCATATGACACGGCAAACTAAAAACGAGGCAGTTAAGTTAAAAGAAGTTCAACTTTTTTTTAAAATGTGCTTCTAGAACTTTCTAGAACTGTGTCTCATGTATTTAACTTGTTGAAATGTTGCGCTGTTTTGTGAATAAACTTTCTGGAGCTTAAGTTCAGTGTGCGGACATCTGTTCTTTTTTTTCATGTGATCTTAATGCAAAACATTATGGTTTTATATTGTGGCAAAATTAAATAATTTGACCTATGATTGTGATATAGTCAATGTTTTTTGACATACAAAACATTATATTAATCAAAATTAATTAACAATAAAATTATGTACTTTGATACATGTTTAAATATGATGAACAAGAATGTTGAAATCATGCAGTATAAAAAAAAACAGTATTTATATATTCTCATTTAATTGACAGTGGAGAGACACAGAAACACTGAAGGAGGACAAGCATAAGGAGAAGTGGGACATGACACAGGCCAGGTTTGAACCCTGTGAGGCGCATGCATAACTCACTGCACCATGGCTTTTGGTAAGCGTTTATGTCTGTGTTTGTTCTAAATAAAGTTCCCTTACATAGTGGGTCTGTATGCAGTAGCAGTGGGTCGTCCCGTCAAAGTCTGCTTCGATTACTCCACTTGGCCGGTTGCCCCGCACACTCAAACCCTGCCATGCATACCGCCACTGCATGACTGCATTGTGTGTGTGTGTGTGTGTGTGTGTGTGTGTGTGTGTGTGTGTGTGTGTGTGTGTGTGTGTGTGTGTGTGTGTGTGTGTGTGTGTGTGTGTGTGTGTGTGTAAAACGCAGTCACGGGGAGCATGCATGCATGAGCGCCCACCCTTACTGCTTATTAGTTCATGCTTATGAACACACCAAAAACAGTCTCTTCCTCCTCCTCGGGACATGCCTCCCGCTGCGCTACAGTGTCTGCGGCCCGCTTGTCACTACAGTTGACCGTACAGTAATGAAGGAGGCGTGGCAATGAAAGGGTTAGTTGCCGGGCAGAAACTGGGGTGGCGTGAGTGCTCACACTCAACGTTCAAGGGATTTTCCCCTTCTGCTGTCTGTCGCTCGTTCAACTCCCTCTATCTGACCTCTCGTGGGACGACAAAGTCTGTGTTCACTCACCGCATTATTCACGCATTTTCACCAGTCGGTCGAGATCACCTCGATGCAGTGAATCTCTGACGTTTCTGCTCTCTGTGTTTCATCCATCCCAGGACTTCTGGGACGTGTGAAAATAAAAATAACACACATCTATCCGTTAAATTGAACGAATAAATGGAAAATTATCATTCTGCTAAGTTGAGCGAGCAGCAGGTTTGCTGTCAGTAGGCTACTCTTTTCTTTTTTCTTTTTTTTTACAAATTGAATATTTTCCCAGAAGATTGGTTATGGTTTGCCATAGAGTTCTGTAAGATTAAACAGTTGTATTAATAGATTATCTGTGCTTACAATTGAAAAGCGCTGCCTCTAAT